GGAGAGGAAAAAAAGAGGGAAAGAGGAAAAATAAGTCGAGGAGCTGCGCGGACGAGAGAGCCGCATCAAAATGCAAAGGAATGTGGGTGGACACTTGTGATGGTTCTTGTCAATTGGTATTTACATTTTTATAACGGGCGCTGTCGCGAGCGGTTTGGGCCCCAACTCGATCAGGGCGCCCTCTGTCCGAACCGTCGTCGCCGTCCGGACGGCCTGTCCACTGTCAGCGCAGCCTGTCGGGTACACTGCTCACCCCCATGCATGGCCCCGCAACACTAGTATAGTACTGCCCTCTCGCAATCCCTAGAAACCAGCGACCGCGACTTTCACGGCGGCGGTGGATCAAAACCGACTTTTTTTTTTTTTTCACCGACACTTTTTTCCTTTTTTTTTGTGGAAGGCAAAAATGGAACGGCGGGCGTGAGGCGAGGTGAGGTAAAGTGGTGGCCGAGGACGCGGGGACGCGGCGGGCTAGGGGTGGGGTGAAAGGCAGGAGAGTCCTTGAGCAGCCGAAGCTCGCTTTGCAATGCAAATAGCGCGCGGTCTGCAGTCTCTGCTGGACTGCGGCCCTGGCCGCTGGAGCCCTGGAGCCAGCGCAGACTCATTCCGAGAGTCTGTCTCTCTCGCACTCATGGCGCGTCCCGCGTGGGTGTGAGAGAGACAGAGCGACGAAGAGGACTCTCGGATTCAGTCTGTTGGAGGCGGGCCGAGGCGGGCCCGCCCCGGGATCATTTGAGACCCCCTCTGATCCAGGGACTCGTCGGGACGGGGCCGCCCTTGGGCTGCCGCTCCGTAATCGCCCCTTGTCACTGCAGACCGATTCCGAGGGTCGTTTTCGTCGCTCTGTCTCTCTCGCACCTATACGGGTCGCCCCATGAGTGCGAGAGAGGCAGAGCGACGAAAACGACTCTCGGAATCAGTCTGCTGCTCCGGACACAAGCAGCGCGCCGTTCCATTTTTACAGTGGCTTCAGTAGGGCCGGGGTGGAGGAGAAGGGGGTTTCAGCTCAGCGCACCCGCCACCGTCACTTTTCAATCTGCAGCTTCTTTTTCTTGGTTCCATACACACAGTGTGAGTCAGGTAGTTTTGAAAATGACGTCAGGGAAAATATTCTACAGTGTACCCCCGACTGCTGGAGTGCGGACTTGTAGCCGCCTGGAGCAGTTTTGCTGCGGCCGTGCGGAATCTGAGAAAGGTTCACCTGTTGTGAAGCATAACAACTTCCCCCTGTGCCTTTTGGGGAAACGTCGTGGGTTTTTGCTTTCCCAGGCTCCCTCCCCCCCTCCTCTCCGTTCCCGGGGGCTTCGTCCGCCCTTTCCGTTTGAGTCCTGGCATCCTTCTCTCTCCCCCACGCTCTGTCTGCCTCTCTCTCCCAGCTCCACCACCAGCGGGGCGGGATCTCACAAAGACATTACGCAATCATAAATTTCCCTCTTTCGGCCCCAAACGAGTCTTTTTAAGAGCGGGCCAAGAAGGTGTAGCCACCTCCGGCTTGGCGCCGCCTCGCCGCCTTGCCGGCTTACGGTGCAGGCCCAGGGCCCAGGGCGAGCAGCGGGCCGAACCTTTTACCGCGGCCACAACTTTTCGCATCGTGATAAGGCGGGGGAGGGGGGGGGCGCTTTCCCCCGGCTTTCGGGAAAACAAGGCGCCACAAGTTGTTGCGTTGCACCGCCCGGCACCGCCGCTCCGCTCGGCTCGCCGCAGGAAGAATTATGTAGTTGCCCCAAAGTTGGCAGCATCTGCCGCGCCGAGGCCGCCGTCGCGGACCGTTTGGCCGCCTCGCTCACTTGTCAGCAGGATCGTAGAAATCGTGGTTTGGCCTGACTTTAGGCAGCCACTGCGTCTAATCCAAGGCGGCTAATCGTTCTCCCTCGACGGGTGGGTGGTCTTTAGGCCTTCCTTTAGAACACCTTTGTTACGGAGTGTGATTTAGCGCCTAAGTTTGGGAGCGGTATTGCAGCAAAGTTGATCAAAACGATAACAATTAACTTTACCCAATTATACCGTATATTACGGTAACATGCCGTATTTTACCGTTCTTTACGTAACTTTGAATCTTACCGGTATTTTTGCATCCCCACGTGCTCGCTTCCACGTCGAGCTCGTCCGCTCCGAGGTGAGTGCGGAGCTCCGGGCTGGAGAGCCGAGAGGCAATGCGACGCGTTTTGTAAATATTTCCCGTTTGCGCGTAATACGAAGTTGGATGCCCTGCTTTGCTGCTTCGCCATGAGAGGCATGAATATTCAGAACGGGCGGTGCGGTGCGGTACCACACTGTACCAGAGGGCCCTTGCCGCTTCGGCCTTCGCCGTTCCCGGGGCCCCGCTCGGCCAAAGGGAGCCAGAGGGAGGCGGCCGAAAGGGCTCGCTTTGCTGTTGGGGCTTCAGCCTGCTTCAGCCTCGAGGGCTCTCAGTGTCCTTGAAAAATCTCGATGGTGCAGCCTCACTTTTTTCTGTGTGTGTGTGTGTGTGAGAGAGAGAGAGAGAGAGAGAGAGAGAGAGAGAGAGAGAGAGAGAGAGAGAGAGAGAGAGAGAGAGAGAGAGAGAGAGAGAGAGAGAGAGAGAGAGAGAGACAGAGAGAGAGAGAAGGAAGGTGGGGGGACCTTAGCCGCAGTCGTCTTCACGAAAATCCACGGGCGTGGGCGCGGGCTTGGCGTCGTCGGGGTGGCTTCGGCAGAATGATCGTTTTGACTCGTAATATAACGGGATGGCGGGGCGGGGCGTGGCGTGGCGCGGCTCACGGGGTGTCCTCGCCACCAAGCCACCCTGCAACATGTCGCGGCTGCTCGGCGTACTGCTGCGCCTGACAGGGATGAACCCGCAAACTTTTTTCCGGGGAACCCTCCTCCTCCTCCTCCTTCCTCTTCTTTTTTATACTTCCCTCCTTTATTCTTTTTCTGTTGCGGTTCAGCCGCGGGAAAAAATATGGCGGTCTGAGTAAATACCGTGCTTTGAGACAGCGCCATGGTGGGCGGTCTCCAGGACTCCAGTCGCCGCGAGGGGCGGGGCGGTGAAGGCAGAACGCCCCGCCCGGCCCGCCTGGAGACGGCTCTTGTTGTTGTTGTTGTTGTTGTTGTTGTTGTTGTTGTTCTTGTTGTTGTTGTTGCTGCTTGCTGTTGTTGTTGTTGTTGTTGTTGTTGTTTAGGACCGACTGCCGACCGAGCAACGTCAAAACATCCCTCCGCACGCGTTATACCAGCAAGGACTCATCGTTTGCGAGAGCGCTAACGTCCACTGGCCGCCTCAAGTCTGACCGTCCGGTCAAACGGTCCCGCTCTTCGCCTGGTCTGCCCGGTCTTCCCCGGCGCGGCGTCTCGCAGGTGAGGCGCGCTTACAGTGGAACGGCCCCGCGGGGAAATGCAGAAGGCGGCGCGCCAAATTTGAATTGGCGATCGGTTTTACGGCGCTTCAACGACTTTGAGGCGCTTCAATCGGCATTAGGCTGCCAGCCCCGGCGGGGCGGACAGGAGGCCTGGCCGGACCGCCCGAGCTGGCAGCGCCATGGCAGCGCATGCCCGGCCGACCACGGCGGAGGGAAAGTGAAACATAAAAAGGAGGATGCTACATCGGCTGCTTGACCATACGCCAAGCAGCTATTGGCTGCAGATCATAAAGGAGAGCGATAAAAAGAGGAAGGGCGAAAAAAAAAGGAGATAAAGAAAAATGGGTCGGTGGGGAGCCGAGAGCCCAATGGGCAGGGAAGGCAGAAAGTGACCACACGCGTGGTGGTGGGCCCTACTGCAGACTGACTCCGAGAGTCTTCTGCGTCGCTCTGTCTCTCTCGCTCTCATGAGGCGTCCCGTACAGGTGCGAGAGAGACAGACAGACGAAGACGACTCTCGGAATCAGTCTGCTGCTCAGCCCTGCGTCAAGAGAGGGACATCAAGGAGCCCGCCCAAGAACAGGCCGCAGTTTCGCGTTTCAAAAAATTGATCTAAAGCACACGAAAAGAAAAACGCTGATAGGGGTTTTACCGGCGAGAAAAATGGAGCGGGAAGCGAGTTGCAATAACACGACGAGAGGGAGACGGGCGCCACCGCGCGGCGCCTCAAAGAAAGCCTCAGAGTGGCGCGCCCGCCAGCAGGCTGCTTCCGAGAGTCGGCTCCGTCTCGGTTCCGTCGCCCTGTCTCGCTGGCACTCATGGCGCGTCTCCTGTCGGTGCGAGAGAGACAGAGCGACGAAAACGACTCTGCTGCCGTTTCCGGCGGTGCAACACCCGATCGCCTCGCCTCCCTCACGCCACCATCACCTCCGACTGAAGGGAGGCTGCTCCGCGCCGCTCCACACACACGCCCGTCAAAGTGCCCAATATATATACCTCCTTGAGCTTGGCGCGGCTCGGCTCGGCGCGCGCCACGTGTCCTCCGCAAGCGTTCCGCGTGCGCGGCCCATCGCCGGCGCGTGGCGGGGGGGGGGGCGGGGCGGGGCGGGGCGGGGGGCGGGGCGGGGCGGGGCGGGGCGGGCGGGCGGGGCGGGGCGGGGCGCGCTCCCACCCAGGACTGCTCTTTTTCGGTTCACTTTCAAAAGGCGGCCCGTTTTGTTTATGTGGCCGAAACGACGACCCTTTGTGCGAGGCTGCGCGCTGCGCGGCGCGTGTTGGAGTCCACACTGCGATCGTCCACGCTGGACGGCGGAGGTATAAGCTCCAAATGAAAACAGCCCACCCTGTCTCCCACTGTGCAGCCCCCGATGGCACGCGCCACGCGCCGCGCTCAAGAATCTCAGTTAGAAAGATGGAAAATTTTGGTTGTCATTTCCGATTTTTAAAAAACTAAATAAAAAATTGTTAGGATTTTTTTTGACAAGCCGTGTTGGTTTTATATTTTTGGTTGTTCCTGCTGGTCACTGGAATGTCCTGGCATCCGAGAAAATAGTGACGTTTTCAGCTATGCGCGCCGACCATCCAAGAGGTGGCGCTGCGGTCGCTCGCCGGCGGTGCGCGCGCGGTGCAGCCCAGCGGTCGCGTCTGGGCCAGGTACCGAGGGAGACGGTCTCTCGAGTTAGCCTTGCGCAGTGGCGATACAGTAACCAATGAGGTTCATCCGAGGTGCTGTTATTGCTAGTTGAAAACTTTTACCAATACCCCGCTTGGGGGACTGGTAACAGTCCGCTAAGCAATTTTTGGAAGCCCCCACGGGGGCTAATAAAATGTTCACTTACCATCGTCACATCCTAGATGAGGGTGTTATGGACGCCAAGGTATCTGCATGGAGTTAGACTCGTCATGTTTCTTCCGCTCTGCCTCTCCTCGCTACTCACCGCTTTTAACTTCAAATATCGTGGGTGGAAAATCAGTTCCTATCCGGATATTCCAACGCTATAAATCACATCTCGCCATGTGACGAGCATATAGGAAAGTCCATCGGTGCATCTTGTATACTCTGACCAGAAAGAGCCCTGGGTTCTCGCGGTCAAGGGCTACCTGCAATGCTAGCCAAGGCGGCAGATGCCATAAACCGCGAGGACTCGGGGCACTTCGTTTTCTGGTCAGAGTATAGACTAAATTCAATGTTAAGGACGAAATATTGTGGGTAAATGAACAATATCGGCCGTAGCTTAAGAGAATACCGTGCATATTACGTCTGCACGAAAAAACTATGAAAGCGGGTTAGTCAGTTGTCACAAGTGTCAATGCGAGGCTGAGAGTGCACATGCATTACTCGAGAGGTGGCGCTGCGGTCGCTCGCCGGCGGTGCGCGCGCGGTGCAGCCCAGCGGTCGCGTCTGGGCCAGGTACCGAGGGACACGGCACAACGGATTAACTTCGCGCAGTGGCGATACAGTAACCAATGAGGTTCATCCGAGGTGCTGTTATTGCTAGTTGAAAACTTTTACCAATACCCCGCTTAGTGGACTGGCAACGGTCCGCTAAGCAATTTTTGAAAGCCAATAATCTTTAACACATTGTCTGATGGACTGCCATCGACGCGGAGGTGTTGTATCTGCGACACGTATCTGCTTTTTATCTCGCTGTTCCCTGTTCCCCTCGTCGCCGCGCGCTGGTGTCACAAACTACGGCGGTCAGGTCCAGCCACCCTCGCGTCGCGGCGACCAGCACACTGATTCCGAGGGTCGTTTTCGTCGCTCCGTCTCTCTCGCACGCATACGTGACGCCCCGCGAGTGCGAGAGAGAGACACAGCGACGAAAACGACTCTGTGCAGGAGGCAAGAGACGGGCGAAAAAAAATATGGCAACTTGGTGGGAAACGGACGCAGCGAATGAAGGGCCAATAAGAAGCAGGCGGTGTGGGATGGGACAGGTTGGGGGAGGCCGGGGAGGGGAGTGAGTGGAGGTCACTGGTCATTACCGCGGGGTCAGCACGGGAAAGATGGTTCCTGGTTTTCCCAGGAACTGCCTGGAAATTGCCTATGTCTCTACCATTGGCTTCCTGGGAAAACCTGGTTCCGTTTTTACCTTGAGAGTCAGAGACTCAGCCAGGGCGGCGAGCTCGTTTCTTTTTCAGATTTTAACCCAAACCGCGTGATTCTTTTGAAGCCAGAAAAGACCGGCCGGCGGCCAAGACTCCAGACGCATTTTGAGCCGCCAAGTCGCTAAATGGGACTCGAACCGAACGTGTGACCCCACCAATGGATTCCTCGTTCGGAGCGCAATCCATTGGTGGGGTCACACGCTCGATTCGAGTCCTGTTTACCGACTCCGGAGCTCAAAACGCGCCTTTAGTTCGCTTTAGTTTCAGCCGCCTGCGCCGGTCTTCTAGCCGGCCCACTGTGCGAGTGCCTGCTCTTCTCTCCTCGAGCAGGTGAACCAGTGGTTGAAAAAGGCCAAACTGCCCAGTGAGAGCTATGAGCGGCCTCGTATAGGCAATATCCTTCCCTCTCGGCAAATACAGACGTCAAGCCGCCGGGCCGGCCCCACACTGCGAAAGCCTCGCGCCGCGCGCCGCGCTCACGAGGCGCCGCATCCGGGAGTCTTTTAGCGACTTCCGGTCGCACAGCATCGCACAGCATCGCACCGTCCCCGAGCGGCGCGAGCGGTAAAAAGGCCTCAAAGACATACAGTCATTTATTTCTATCTCGCTCCGGAGGGTGACACGGATGGCGTGTGCCGCACAAAAGCTACCCGGAGCGGAGGCTGGCGGAGGGGGAGGGGGAGGGGTGGCGCTAAGTAGGCGTGTCGGACCGCGCGCCGCGGGCTGGGGGTGGGGGTGGGGGTGGAAGAGAGAGGGAGAGAGGTGAACGTGTTGCGGGCGTCGCGCAGAGGGAAAGATGGCCTTGTTTGTCAGAAAAACCTGAAATCCTCATTTGAAACGTTTTCGAAGGAAGTGGAAAAGAACATTTATAGCGTCCTGTCCATGCTGTAACCTCAAATGCTTCGCCTGGGATTTCCCAGGCGCGTCTTGGAAAGAGGGTCTACTTTCCCCAGGAGCCGCCTGGAAATCCCAGGGGTTACTTTCGCCGTGTCCAGCCTCTCTTACGCAACTCATCTGCCTCTTCGTAACAAGGTTTGTTTTCTACTACTACTTTCCACGTTCTTGGAAAACAACTAAGCACTCCATGCCCTGTGAATCGTTGTTTCTCCGCGTCGCGTGCGAGCTGGCCCTCTGTTTGCCACACTGTTCCGCGCGCCCGTTTGTTTTCGTTTCTTTGTCTTTGTTTTCTTTCGGTTCGCACGGTCCCCGGCCAGTGGTCCCCGGCCGGCGGTCCCTGGTCCTTCCCCAGCCACTCGAGCGGCGAGTGGCGCGACGCGTTTCGTCCCGGAGACAACGCGGCGACAGCGCGGCGACAGCGCGGCGACAGCGCGGCCTGACTTATGACTCCGCTCTCGTCACTCCGTCTCTCTCGCACTCGCGGAGCGCCCCGCGAGTGCGAGAGAGAGAGAGAGAGAGAGAGAGAGAGAGAGAGAGAGAGAGACGGAGCGACGACAGCGCGGCCGGGAGTGCTCCGGGACGAGAGCGTGGCTAACTGCGTTAGTGCCGCGGCATCGCGCGCTCCGCTCCGCTCCGGGCGAGGGGGAGGGGCAGGGGCGGGGGGCACTCATCAAGCGATGAAAAATGTCGCGGCCGGGGCATTCGACGCGGACCCGTGCATGTGTATCTCTCTCTCTCTCTCTCTCTCTCTCTCTCTCTCTCTCTCTCTCTCTCTCTCTCTCTCTCTCTCTCTCCTCTCTCTCTCTCTATCCCCTTCACGCCCCCTTCTTTCCCCCCTCCCCTCTGGTTCACATTTCACCTTTTCATCGGGCCCTTTATCAGTGGTCCACACGGTGGCGTGCTCCACTTTCAGATGTGTGTGTGTGCGCGCGCGCGCGCGTGTGTGTGTGTGTGTGTGTGTGTGTGTGTGTGCGCGCGCCAGGCGTGCGCTGCCTTAACGCGACATGGGACGACGGCGGCAGTCCCAAGTCCGGACGTCTGACTCCAGTGTCCCCGGCACCGCCCCGGACTCCAAGCGCGGCTCCGGGCTGTCCGGGCTCCGGTTGGCTCCGGTTGGCCCCGGTTGGCCGCAGCAGAAGAGAAAACTAGCCAAAAAGGCGAAAGGACGCAGGAAGGGTCGACCGCAACAGCTTTAATCGCGTGCCGGCAGGCGGACGGGTCGTTTCTCTTCATCCTGTCCGGAAGAGGACACCGGAAACACCGGACCGGAAACACCGGACCGGAACAGCGGAAGCGTCCAAACTGGGTGGCCGGCCAAGGCGGCCAAGGCAGCCAAGCCGCGTGGGCAGGTCCGTCGGCCAGTTCCGCGGGCTGCAGTGATTTAGTGGGCTGACCTGGCCTCGGTCCTTGGGGGCATTGTGTGCATGTGTGTGTGCGTGTGTGTGTGCGTGTGTCCGCGTCCACGCATGTGCGCTCTTCCTTTTGCTTGGAAAAATTAAACTGGACCCTTTCCTCCGCCTCTCTACAAACTGAAGTGTGTACTCAGTATGCATCTACAGATGCATACTCCCAAGTACACACCTACAGATGCATACCTAACCTCTCCAAGTACGCATCAGCAGATGTGTATTCAGCTGAGTATGCATCTGTAGATGTGTACTCAGCTAAGTATGAATCTGTAGGTGTGTACTTGAAAGTATGCATCTGAGACTGAGCACACACTTCACTTTGTAGAGCTGGCCCGTGCCGTGGCCTGGCCCGTTGGCCCGCAGTCACCGCACCCACCCTCCAAGATCGGAGACGAGAGCGAGGCGATCGGGAGAGGAGGAAGCAAAGAGCGAGAAGGAAGAGGAAGAAGAAGAAGAAAAAACAGCAAACTTTATCGACCACAAAATATTAATAGTGGGTCACATCTGATTTTTCTTTTTCTTTTTCCAGCGCAGGCTCCCCTTTCTGCGCCTCCTCCCCGGCCCCACTCGGCCCCACTCGGCCCCACTCGGCCGCGGCGGGCCGCCCCTACACTGCCCTGCACTACAGGGCCGCGGCGCGGCGCGGTGGACCAGAAACCCATTAGACCAACATGATGACATTATTTTCCGTCCCTGGTGATGACGAAAAAAAAAAGAAAAGAGGGCAGAAGCGAAAGAAAGCGGCAAGGAACGTAAAAATACAAGGGGGAATGAATGAGGCGGCGCGACGGCGGCGAATCGAACGAGACGGTTAATCCTCGGGGCTCTTACCGGAAATTAAATCAATCAAGGGGCAAAATGGAAGGGAAGGCGTCCCTGATGGGCCGTGTTTGCGGTCAACACGTTTCCAGCGAGGGCGGCCCACAGTGGGCCAGAAGACCGGTGGAGGCGGTCGAGATCCCGCACGCGTTTTGAGCTCCAGAGTCGCTAAATGGGACTCGAACCGAACGTGTGACCCCACCAATGGATTTCTCTCCGAACGAGGAATCCATTGGTGGGGTCACACGTTCGGTTCGAGTCCTGTTTAGCCACTCTGCAGCTCAAAACGCGTCTAGAGTTTTGGCCGCCTCCACCGGTCTTCTGGCCCAATGTGTGAGGCACAGGTGACAACCGGAAAAATAAGTTTTAAAAAATCAAATAAAAACCCCTAAAATCACAAAAAAAAACACAAAAAATTACTGGTTTTCTGTCCGTTTAATGCAAAGAGCGCCTTTCTCTTCCAGTGGCGTGGCGCACTGCGCTCCGCCTTCGCGGCGCCGAGCGGCAGGGCGTCGGCAGGGCGTCATTCCCAAAATTACAGCTATCACCGTCACAAGTCCATCAGTGGCGGCAGGGGGGGGGGTG